TTCGAAGTGGATACATGTGAGAACCCATACCTCCACCTACCCCCAATAATTACACATGTTGTCATGAGCGGGTATCTCCCATGAGTGATTCAGTGAGTGCCAATGCCTCTATTATCATCCCGAAAGATGCATTCGAATATCTCCAGAGACGTGACAATCCGCGTGAAGAGTGGATTACATATTATTGAAGAATGAGTGCATTGAACAACAGCAATGCCATCATATTAGCGATGCCGTTTATGATAGCTTTCAGATTCAACCACACTGCATGTAGTTTTACGTTCGTACACACAAGAAGCGATATTGGAATACATAAGGTGAGGTGTAAGAGTGGTGGAAGTTCTAGAACTCTGGTTTGGTGGCTTGCATGGCGTTCGGATAGCTTGGAGTTCCGCGGCAGTGCACTCCCCCGGATCACCGACCTCGGGAATCTAACAACACTCTCACGCCCTTCTCAGAAAAAATCGAACGGGGGTTTATCCCCGAAGCTTCTGCACACAAGAATAAGAAGCTATAGATTTTTTTTAAACTCTTCTCCTTATATTTTATATAGAGGAGAGTTATTCCTGTAGGGTCTTACTTCTTTAAAACGTTGTTGTTGTGGCGTTGTAGGGTTGTGAAGTTTGAGCTCGCTAGGAGGTGTTCGACCTTTTCTGAGGAGGGCGTGCTCTGGTGCTTCGATGCGGGGTTCATCCGTGCTCGGTAGACTTTCGGTTTCCGAAACTGAAGAGTTGCTGCTTGGTTCTCTGTGGCTGAACCGTGGATGAAATTTATTGATGCACGACCGTTGGAATGAACCCTAATGACGCACTTGCACCATGTGTTTAGGACGAGCAGGTTTCCAGCCGGGCGAGTGCTTGAACAACACACAACACACTTGAGATGACAGCTGACGATGCAGCGGGGCGTACCTAGGCATTCACAAAAGTTGCAAGAGGATCAGCCAAGCACGTCTCGACGTGGCTGTTGAACGCCATTCGGGCATCGCGAGGAAGCCAAGTATTCCCACATGAGCTTGCGCAGCATCATTGCTTGCTATGATGAGGCCAAGCTATGAGCGAAAACCTTGGATCGCAGGACATGATTGTTTCCACAAAATTTCGTGAGGGCGGGTGTGTTGTGCAAGGCCATGGTGGTTTCATTCCTGTGCCCAGGTTTCAGCCGTGCTGGACGGGCGTTGGCAGGGCCGATCCTGCCCTTTGGGGGGGAAGCCGGCAAGGATGTCGCTTATCATCCTTGGAGTGATCAAGCTTTCGCATCATGGATTTAGCTGCAGGTCCCACATGGCTTTCTGATCATCAACGCTGGCCGCCCGCCAGCCGCTCTTCTATCGTAGATCTGATCTCATTGTTGTCGTCAATCCTCATCTGCCGTCCCGTCCAGCGCTAGCCATCATGCTGCATCCCCCCAACTGCCCCTATCGCTGTCCTCAATCCGGATTGAGTTCCGCGGGCCTCAGGTGTCCAACGAAACACAGCCCTGGAGTCGTGCAGCAATGGTCTCGGTGTAATTACACCGTCAGCGCGCGCTACGACCTGTCGGTAAATCACCCTGGTCAGCACTATCCACTTCCATAGGCCTAGGGCTACCCAGTCACAGTGTCTGTCGCATCCTCATGCATGCGAATGGTCTGGATTTCGAATTACCCTGGCTTGATGCTGTGGCTGGCGGCGGTACGTGTTGAGCAATGCAGCGATAGGTACCTAGGTAAGACCAACAACAAAGTCGCCCGGGCTCTTTTATACCCGCGGAGTCCGCCCTTCTGTGACGTGGACCTGAGTTGTCCTACCACCGACTCAGCCCTCGAGCTTACGTTTGCTAGCAGCACGATGCTAATGTCACTGACTGTTCCCTCGGTATGTACTCACACAGTGCCAACAGGCGCCACCCGTGAATGCTAACGCCTCGGAAATAGTGTACCTTCTCACGCCAGTTTCCGCTATGAAACTATGATGCAATTGTCAAGTTCCCTTTGTTTTTCTATCTCGTTCCCCTAGAACAACGATCTACCATAGCCCTGCCGCACTATAGCATAGCTCGTATCGGAACGACCCTTCGGCGACAACCAGGGGCAGCGCGGCCGAACACGATACAGATTGTCAAGATACTTTGCGGCTGCCTTTCTTTCCTCGCTTTATCACACAGCTGTCGACAATGTTTCGTTTGCTGCTTTGTGCAGCGCTTTTCTTTCAGCACGCCCTCGCATTGAAGGAGACTATCGACCTTGGATACGCGCAATACCGTGGGAAAGATATCGGCAATGGTGTCATACGATGGGCTGGTATGCGATATGCCCGCAGGCCAATCCGTTCAGATGGACTTCGATTCGCTGCACCTCAGGATCCCGAAGATGAGCGCAATGTTGTTGACGCTACAAAGGTACAGGGCGTTTTCACGGTTTGTGGACACCACGCTAACAGCAGTTTAGTTTGGACCCCTATGTATCGGCACCAAGAGCAGTCTGACAGCCGAATTCGGGGGAAAACACTCGGAAGACTGCCTGTTCGTTAACGTCTTTGCACCAGAAAGAGCTACCAACAAAAGCATGTTACCGGTTTATGTCTTCATCCAAGGCGGCGGCTTCAACATGAACGGCAATGCGAATTACAACGGTGCAGACTTGATTGATGCCGGCGACGACGGCATGGTTGTGGTCAACTTCAACTATCGAGTGGGGCCTTATGGATTCCTGGCTAGCAAGGAGATTGTTGCAAACCAGAGCCTGAGTTTGAACAACGGACTGAAAGATCAGAGGAAGGCACTCGAATGGGTTCAAAAGCATATCCAACAATTCGGAGGCGATCCAGGGCACGTTACCATTGGAGGCGCAAGTGCTGGTGGAGGTTCAGTGGTCTTCCAACTTACCGCATACGGTGGTCGAGACGATGGCCTCTTCCACGCCGCTGCTGCCGAATCTCCAGCCTTTCCATCCATGCGAGATGTCGAGAATAGCCAATGGCAGTATGATGAGCTACTACACCAAACCGGATGCGCGGATCTCAATTGCATGGCCAGCTTGGATGCGGTCATCTTCCAGGATGCTGTGCGTACTCTGCTTAAGCCTTTCCCAGGCGGCAAGAACCCACCGCTTTACTTCTGGAACCCGACATTGGACTACGATTTCATCAAAGACTTCACCTTCAACGAATTGAAGGCTGGCCACTTCGTCAACGTGCCTACTATTTTCGGTACCGCCACAAACGACGGGATCAACTTTGTGGCCAAGAGTATCATGTCTCAACCTCGAGCTCAAGACTTCCTAGTTGATCAATACCCCGGTATAAAATGGGACACGATTCGTCAGCTTTGGGATGGCAACATTGGTACCACTGGCGACGCTCGCTGGAGATCATTGACCGCCGATGTCTATGGTTATATCCGCTACAACTGTCCTAGTCTCAACATTACTGATACGTACGCCCTCAACAACACGAACCCGACTTGGCAGTACAGATGGAATGTTGGAACTGCATCACACGTTGGCGAACTCCTGCCAATCTGGAACAATGCCACTTCAGCGGCTGGTGTCTTTGTCCAGGCGTACTGGGCATCATTCATACGAAGCTATGACCCAAACACCCACGCTGCAGAGTATCTGGTCTCCAAAGGTTCGGAGCTCCAAAGCCCAGACTGGCACTCATTTGGCGCAAGCGAAGGGCAGCGGTTAAGCTTCAACGACAAGAATGAAGTAGCCATGGAAGCTATTCCCGAGACCGAGTGGCAAAAGTGCGATGCCATCGACGACATGGGTTTGCACCTGAAGCAGTAAGTCCACACCCCTTCTAACCAAGCGGCCTGTCATATGCCGGCAGATTGCGTACCGATGATATTCTTGCCTTATCCAGAAGTTACGCCAAGTCGGGAACGTGAGCTAACGAAGACCGTAGACCCGTATTCGACCCCACCTCTCTCGGAACTCGGCACACACCTCTTCCATCCGCGTACATGGGCGCCGCTACCATGCTCTTCAGCTTTTTCTACTGGGCTTACATATGAACAACGCGATGGATAATAGGACGCAAGACATCAAACATTCGTACGCCAAACGGCGACGCAAAACTGAGACATCTGACACACGATGTCATTCGGAAGCCATGTCCATACTCCTACGGCTGACGCATCGCACGAAGAGAAGGCAAATGCCGGAAGTGAGCTGTATGGCAGCTTGTTACACATCCGCGAGGAGGCAGTAAACACCTGAGGAAGAGAACAGAAAGATGCATGAAGAAGAAGCGAAGGCAGAGGGCCCAGCGTGAGATCAGAGGAGCTAGGGGGATGACAGTGAATGATGGGCCGGCACCTCGTACAAGGCTCTCTGGGCGTCTTGCTCTGTTCACTCATCAAGGTATCATTCATTGTGAATGATGCAGGCTCCTCTACCCTAGAAGCGCATCGTACAGACGATGGGTTTTCACACTGATTTTTGCCCACGCGCATATAAGCAGGTATCTTTTGCTCCAAGAAAGGCGTCTTCATCCTTGCGAGCTCAATATTGCACGCATCTCCAACCCATCAAACGTACCCATTTTGAAGAACCTTTTGCGAAATACAAATATATTATTTTCACCTCACAAGTCTCGAAACGAGTGTCAACCGCGCTCATGAGCTACCCAAGGCCTACAGCGTCTGCCAAAGGGAAGATGAGGGCATGTGATGATGAATTTGGCGATGAAAACTGCCCGCGCGTAGTGGACGACTCTGATGCGGCTTCGGATTTCTCTTTTGATGCGATCCCGCGGGAGCCTTTGACACACACAGTCCTGGGGTGCACAGAGGACTCTACCTCGTACAATGTCGCTGCAAATTTGAGTGAGCCGTTTGAGCAGCCAGTGGCAGTACCTGTTTTCACTTCTTCCTTGCAAGAGCACTTTGGTCCACTCGACACCGACTTCTTGACGCCTCTCGTGACTAGCAACACGACTAATCGCTCCACAAGCACCAGCCCGCAACCTCGATACCACCTTACAGAGTCAAGCGCGCGTCGTCACTCAGTCGACTCTATGTCGCTCTACTCATGGGAGCAACCCGCGCCAAAACCACGCTACTACGCTCAGGCGCTGTCTGTAGAGGACCTGAAAGCGCTCGCACAAGGCGAGAAGAACCACAACCTCCAAGAGTGGTCGGACGAGCGCCTTTACACTCACCATGAGGGTCGCAGGGGCTTGATACCCCAGGCCATGCCCTTGGAAGAGAAGATAATCGCGCTCGCGGGGATTGAGCACAAGATGCAGCAAAGCCAGCCCGCTGTAGCCAAGACGAAGGAGAAGGTGCGTAATAAATTGCATATATCTCGGATTAGGAAAACAACTGACGATACGAAGGATGAAGAACATGGTCGCACGCAATTTTGGCAGTCTTCTCAGTCGACATACGACCTTCGCTCTTCTATACTGCCACCTCCACTACCTCGGTCAACACCAACTGCACAGCCTGAGGAGTACGAAGAGCCGCGCAACCGTCGCTACTCACACGCCCGTGCAGCTAGTAGCGGAGATTATTTCTACCAGCCGTCCAGCTCTCGCACAACCGCAAACAACACCCGTCGTATCTCGCCTCTAGCAACCCCATCAGGCCCGTCATCCTCTAGCTCTTCGAACCATGTACGCAGCCCTCTGAACCAAGAAGTGCGCTTCCGCGCTAACCCAGAGGCGACATTCGAGTCTTTCCTCGTGCCACACAAGTCTGGAACGGGTGAGGTCCTTGCGGAGTCTAAGAACGCGATGAAGGATAAGACGCCGACGGCGAGCCTGAGCCCAAGTCCGAAGGCGTTGGCGAAGGTTAGGCGGTTGACGAAGATGCCGTCGATGCCGCTGCTGCGGAAGCGTAGTAGTGGTTCGTGAGGTGGGTAGTTGCGTCTGGTTTGGAGAGATGATGAGGGATGTGCTTTTGTTTACGTTTTTGAACACGTTTAGATGGTTTTGGATGTACAGATGAGGTCCTTTCTTGATTAAAGGCTCATAGGCAACGCTTGTATTAGTGTTGTATGCATAATGTTGACGTTCATATCTGAACTGAAAATGAGTGACGGAAGGAACGTTCCTTCGACACGTGGTGTGTCTAACACTAATTAAGCATAGCGCCTTCCAAAAATGAGCTTTCTGAGAAAGCACGGTCGCTCCATCCTCCTGTCTCAACATTCAGGTGTCTCACATCAAGATACCTTACGCTACCCGGTCTCATCTCAAGTGAACGCCGCTTATGTCTTCATCTCGCCTTTCAACACCCTCTCATACTCCTCCTCTTCAACAGCCTTCACGTATAGCGTGACATCTTTACCAGTGTTCCACTCGGCATCGACCAGGACTTTTGTCAAACTATGGCCCCAGGAGCCTGTCTTCCGGTACTGGCTTTGAGGTTTATCCCACTTCCACAGTAACATGCGGCCCTCTGGAACCAGCTCCCCACTTTGATCACCGAGAACTGTGAAGCTTAGGATATGGGCTACAACGCTGTGGCCACCATTACCGCTACCATGGTCATCATCGCCAACATTTGCATCTAGTAATCGGGCGATCAGCTTCGATACCGTCGGTGCGTCTTGCGATGAAGCCAGGAGTTCGATCTGGCTGCGAAGGAAGTTTGCGAGATCAAGCTCGCTGACTGGGATGCGTACTTCGCCGAAGTCCTCGTGGGACTGGATGAGTTGAATTTGAGCAGGAGTGAGCTGTGTATGCAGCTGTATGCTGGGGCTTGAAGGCGCCCCGTATCTCATGATGGTCGATGATTTCGGTGTAACGGCTACGAGGAAGGTGTAAGGGCGTGTCAGCGTTGTTACATCTGAGTGCAGTTTGTAACCCTTCGAAAAGTCAGCATCGCCACCGATACGCGCTAGCTGAATTATCTCCTACCGGAGTCAGTGATATCTGGTGCGCCATCGTGAGTGTTGTGTTAGTTTTCAGATGACTCTATCAGGATGATCTAGGTGAGTTCGGTTATATCGGCTATCCTTGAAGGAAGGATGGTTGCCTAGAGGATCTGATTTGATCGATTGGAGTGCCAAGTGTACGTACCCAAGCTGTCATCGCATCGCACATGCGGCACATCACCCTCGACGATTACCAGTCGAAAAGCTTATCCTCCCCGTAAAACTGATCAATGATACCGTTGCTCTCCGCCTGAATCCAAACACCCATAAGATCCACAGGAGAGAACTTAAGCCATCCATTCCACACTGTTTGAGGACATCCACTACCTGGACGACCTGCCGCAGCGATCACTTCAGGCCCCTCCATTGTCGTCTTCATCCCAGATAGTAACTTTACAAATGCTTCTTTAGCATTGTATGCTAGTTTGAGAGGATTCACGCCTTCCGGCGGCGTATCTCCTATGGGGTCGGGGCCGTTCTCCAAACTCTCAAGAGCTTCATCATCGATGACTATACACCAGGCCCACTTTGGACCGAGTTTCTCCTCATCGGGAATGTCGTCCTGTATTGCAGGAGGCCCAGGTTCACCCATTGTCTCCGGGAAGACCTTTTGAGCATAATGCTGGCGGAAATGCCTGCAGACGACGTCGAGCGACGCGCCAGGCATATAAGCAGCAGGATCGAGACGTAATATGTCTATTATCTTCTGGTTGTATGGCGCGGGGTTGCTGTAACGCAGGTTGTCTGTTGCGTGGGCGTAAACTTTGCCGATCACTGCTTGGAAGTGCGCATCATCATCGGTCGCATCTGTTGTTCATCAATACTTGCACTCGATAGGCTGCATTAATTTCCACTGACATGCTTTGCTTTCCTTGTCTGTATCTTCGTTTGAGACTTCCTGGCCTTGTGGGCGCGTATAGGTGCCATAAACGAAGAAGCCCCAGGTCGGATCTGCCCATCTTTCGAACTTCTGCAAGAATTCTTTACATTCTTTAACCTGGCTCTCTTCTTGTGTTGCCATACTTGCTTGTCCTATGTTGCGCGAGCGATCGTTGGCAAAGGATAAGCGTGAGACGCGCGCAGGATATGTAGGGTCGCAGGACTGCGGGAACCCGTGGATGCCTGAAAGGCTTGGGGGTCAGGTCCTGTCGTCTCTGAGAGCGCTGACGTAGGAATGAGCCCTTGCAGAGTATATTCAAGTTTGCGAAAGTACTAGCCTCTACTTGTTTGACCGTGCATCACATTCAAGAGATGGATTGGTCTGTGAGTTGGAGGCCGGGGATGGGCGCAGGGCGAGGCCACGCCACCTGCGCCCCGCGCGTTCAAAAAAGTAATCATATATTGCTCACCACCTCTTACACCAAAGTGAACGTCGCTTTGCCCTCAGCTTCCCAATATGATGGCAAGGGCTGAGTCTTGTCGTCAATGGTGAGCCGGCCCATGCCGACTCGATTGTAGACGTCCGGCTGAGATGTGGATACCAAAGCTAACCACAAATACACAGCGCTATTTTTATCCTCACACACGACACAAAAACAACATAAGACCTCAAGTATGGGCTCTATGAACGGATCTGAATCGGGGAAGAAAATCCCCATATCCTCCTGGGTATGACGCGTGGTCACACGTCGTCCCCACGCTTGTGGAAACAAAGGTGACCAACTACCCAGCTCTACGTCTCCTTTGATGAGATAACCTCGAAGTCGAAGCGGTCTCATGTCTACTTGTTGGAAACTCATGCTTTGATCTGGAGGGATTTCGTCTCGACCATAACCTGTCTCATCGAGATCGTCATCAGCGTGGCCCAGTTGATCGATCGTTATATCGTAGGACTCGGCCCAATGCCGCAACTGCTTTTGTTCGAACTCAATGGATTTACCCCACTGCGATAACCAGGTCCAAGAGGGAGCGTCTGGCCTATCGATAGCTTGCTGATGAGACGAATGTGATGTATGCGCACTGTCGCCTTTATGAACGGCCCAAAGTAGTCCCAAAGGCAGGTCCTCTTTCCAGAGCCCGTTGATATACGATAGTTGGTTATTCTTCGCAAATACATTCGCAATGCCGGCAATGGCTGGTAGAGCATCATTTGCGTGCGTGAGCGAGCGCTTGCAGTAGTTCTCAACAAGTTCGCACCAGCACGTGAACAAATTCTTTCGTCTTTGACTGTCCGAATCCTGTGCAGCTCTACGGTCGTACATCCAAGAACGCAGTTCATGATTTTTGGGGCGCATAGTAGCGTTGCGCTTATGATCATGAGGGAGACTCTCACAAAGAGTAGAATGTCGGCATTCCCACTTGAGTTGGCGAGACCCGAATTTCAAAAGTCGTGGTGACAGGAGCTCTTCCTGTAGAACCCATCCTCTTTGCTGAAGAGGCGACTGCTTTGATTCAGTATGTAAGAGGTTGAACGGGTTATAACAAGCATATCTCGACACTTCCAACACACGGCTATTGAAGGTCGCCCTAAAATCCAATTTGCAGGGTTTAGACGTGCGAGGATCTCGTGGGATGGACAATCCAGCTTCAGAATCATCTCCTGCTTCCGCAAACAATGTTATTGTTGACGCTTGGTAAATGCTGCCCATCTGGCTGATCTCATTCTGCAGGTCCTCGGGTGAGTCGTGTATGATGCAAAGTGCATCAATCCACAGATACTCGAACCCCAAACGATTTGTAACCAACAGGGCGTGCTGGAAGGTCTTTGGTAGGGCTTCAAGCGGTATCTTCTGCTTATGGCTGGCGATGTTCTCAGTCAAAGTGCAGTACCTCTTCGTATCGCCCCATTTGTAGCTTAGTGTAAGATACGGAAGGCATCTTTCCTCGCCGTCTTCTAAGACAATATCTCGGGGCCCTTTGATACGAATGACGCGGGTAGGTAAGGTGTAGTCTGTGTCGATACTACAGCCGGGGTGTTCGCTCAGGCATAAGTGAGACCACGTTGACGCAAGTTCCATGTTTGCTTCTGATAGTGTCGAAGAGTCTGTCCAGTACGAATACATCGGATCTTCAGCATTACTATCGCCGGCCGCAGAATTTGGTGAAGCTAACGCCGCCAATGGCTTTTGGAATGCGACTACAGATAGCAGTAAGCCAATGAGACCTCATAACGGGTGGATAGAGGCTCTTACCTGGTAGATCACTCTCGCATTGGAAAAACCAGTTGCGTTCGCAACTGTACACTGTGAGATTGTCGAAGCATGGAGTCCCCACTCCTTGATCGTCGTAGTTGAGAGAAAGATTGAAAACAATCTGTTCCCCGGCAACGCGCGTGTCATTCCAGAGTTCTGTATCCATTAAAAAACGATGCGCAATGGTCTTGCAGAAAAGGCAGCCTGAGTCCGCAGTCTGCATAAGAGAGTCAAGGCCCGGAGAATGCAGATAGTATAGTGACGCGTATGGTGATTGGATGACCGCTCCCTGCAACTCGAGTGAGCAGTCTTCATAAGGTTTGAAGTGCATGTTGCGGCACTTATGACAGAGCGTCGTTGCAGCAGCGCCGACAGTGGCGCTTTGAGGCTGGACATCTTGCCTCCTGCTTGCCCGGTATTGCTGTAGCTTAGTCCCAGGTGTCGTGCGAGTCGAGTCATCTGATAGTACTAGACTAATGCGACGAACGTTATCAGCGTGAGGAACCAAGCTTAGTTCTTCCATGCTTGAAGGCAGGAAGTCGATGTTTGTGTCTTTCCCAGGCTGGCAACCTGAATTACCTGGAGTGTAGGGACGGCGGGGTAATACTGTACGAGAGGCCTGACGACCCTCGGCCGAACACGCAACATTGACGCCTCACCGTCAACGCCTTAACAGCGACGCCTTAGCATTGACGACTTCGCCTTCAAAAGCAGTGAGCGCACAGGCTCCGACCTCACTGCTTCATCCGAAAGATCAAGTGTTAATGTGAGGAATGAACATCGTACTCCATTTCGATAACAAGCGAGATACACGTGCACCACGCCAACTTCATAATTATACCCCGGAATCCGCCGTGCTTGGCAGTCATGTGACGTATGCCCTCCGCATTTCCTCCAAGCTGTGGTGGCCTAACTACGCTCGCCAAGCTGAGATGCCGAGAAGAGCTCCGAATATTAGCAGAAGTCGCTAGTCGTCTCACCCTCTGGACTGGTGGGGTCAGCCTACGATCACGGATGACGTTTGCGCGACATGTGAACACTCAGTCCGCAACTGCCATCCATCACCAAACGCAACGATTTTGCGCCTTTGCAACCAGCTCCTACCAGAATGTGTCACCATGTGAGTGACGCTTTGCGACAACAAGGATTGTGCCAGACAGCAAATCTGCTGCCTGTTAAACTCAATCTATCCCAGCAGTTTCCAAACAACGCTACCGAATCTTCACCCTGCAATACCTTCGGCTTCAATGAAGATCAGCTGGAGGAAACAAGGCCTTAACAACCAAGTCGCGGGCTGCGGGAGACAAGGCTCTCCGTTGAGTGATCGTTGAAGTAACACGCATCGCCAATCACGCTCCCTGGTCTCGAGTGGCGTCAATTTAGGCTGTGCGGGATGGGAAACGATGGTCAAGATGCCATCAGGCTGAAGATTCTCGACGCAAGCTCGGAGTACGACAGTTGCCAGCCCACCAGAGGCAGCGTCGTGATTGGTCCAGTCTGCACACCCTCAGCGAGCCGTCCCGCCCATGCGAAATGCCATGAGCCGTCGCATGAGGTGGATGTCATCTGCTTGTTGGACGAGAGCCGGGCAAGGTCACCTACGGGCATCACCCCGACCTCGGGAATTCTGCGTGGTCCATTACCAGACTGTCTCAATAATAGTATATCAACTTTTCACCTCAGTCCTAAAAGGCCATGTATAGTCAAGGCGCGGGTCATCATAACAGGCTCGAAGGCGGAAGGCCGTCATACGGCGCCTAGAGCCGAGAGGGGAGGTGCATACCGATCGACCTCATCCATGGCTGGCTGAAAGATACGTTGGCGCCCAGGGCGTCCGCATCAATACCAGATTGGTCTACCTGCTAAGAGAACTTCCACCCCCGGCCTCGGTAGATGAAAACCTCACATGCCTGGTCTCCGGAAACCCAATCAAATGTGGTAGTGGTATGTATAGCTGTAGGGGCTGCACGCTCTTGAGGTTAATGAACGCCAGATTCGGCCGGAAATGGACAAAAGCGCGTGGCACATCAGCTGTTTTGTCTGCGGAAGGACACAGGCCAGCGATTGTCGCGGTTCGGCTAGTCCTAGAACCATTGTGCCGGTCAGAGAAGGATGCGACTTTCCGGAGCTGAGAGATGGGGACCAACATGAATAGCGAGTACCCAGGTAACTTCGCATAGCAAGCCCCCACTTCTTCATCGCGATCAGACCCAAGTCCACCGACTTATTCCAACTACGAGCCGTACTAGCGTTCAATGTTCGACACATCTATTACAAGAAATCGTTTCCAACTCATTGTTCCAAACATTCCATCATGTCTACAACAGCCAAGCCCCGCAACAAGTCGGATTTCCTCATGCTTGGGGATGAGACCTATGTGCTCCAAAAGATAGACAGAGGCGCAAGACCGAGCAAGATCAGAGATCGGGCCTCTAAACTATTTCGCTTCGATGACCCACTCTTTAAACGAATGAAACAATACGTCTACGATCCCCTACCGCCAAAGATGATCCGTCTAATGCGCCTCTACCCAGGTGATCGCGAGGATTCCATCCAATGTGAGCTTTTCGAGGCGGCTTACGACAACTCCTTTCATATCCCTACCCATGTGCGTCGCCAGTATGAAAACCCAAAAGTCCCTGAGTCCCAGCACCAAGATCAGACAGAAGCCAAACGGACACTGCAAGAAGTAAAAGATTCCCTGAGGGCGTTGATAAACAGAATGAAGAACACCCAAGAGATAGCGCAGGTGGTAGATGGGGCGACGGAGGAAACAGGGATGGAAGTAATGGAGAAAGAGAAAGAACGCCTCATACTTAACTTCGAAGTGCTGAAGCGCAAAATTTTGGAGGAAGAGTTGGAGGCCGTTGGGAAGATTGAGATTGAGTATGAAGCATTATCGTGGTGCTGGGGTCGGGACGACTCCGATTGCGCTGTATCCGTGACGAAAGGTGGTGAGGCCTACAAGATGCCAGTGAGGAGGGACCTGGCTCTGGCTTTGAAATATCTCCGTCACCAAGAGAAGCCAAGAATTCTCTGGATTGATGCTATTTGTATCAACCAAGATAACCACGTCGAACGCAATCAGCAGGTGCAGATGATGTCCAGGGTCTACACTCGAGCAGCTAATGTCTGTATCTGGCTCGGACAGCAAGATGATGAGAGTGAGGTTGCTTTCAAGTTCATCAAAGAAGAGATCACGCACCTGAAAGACTTTGATTCAATCAGCTCGGACAAGGATTACAACAGCAAGTGGCATGCATTAATGGTGCTTATGCAACGAGAATGGTTTTCCCGCCGCTGGGTTGTTCAAGAGCTGTCTTTGGCGAACAAAGCCGAGATATGGTGTGGCCCTGACTCAATGCCATGGAAAGAATTTGCTGTCGCTGTAGAGCTTTTTGTGGAGGTTGAGAGCGCGACACATCGACTGTCAGAAGTGATGCAAACGGACGTGCAGTTTCGGCATGTATCCGGCTGGTTTGAAGGTGTTTCACAACTTGGAGCCAGCGTTCTAGTACAAGCGACAGGCAAGGTGTTTCGTAGTTACGGAACACCCATGGACAGGAACGAAGTAGATGACAAAGACACTGATCAGAAATTAACCGATGAAGAAAAGACCGCCAAGGAGGAGAAAGCAAGGAAGAAGGCCACTAAGGAGAAGCATGACCAGCGGGTTAAGTCGCTCGACAGCATACAAACTATCGATCCACTGGATCGCAGAAGCCTTCTTAGCCTGGAGTATCTAGTGACGACAATGTTCATATTCAAAGCAAGCGAATGCAGAGATTCGGTGTATTCTATGCTAGCCATCGCGAGAGACGCAGCACCATTCGCTTCGAACACAATGCCGGACACTACAAACGAAACGACAGTCGACGACAACGCAGTGCCCGTCACTAAGCCTTTTGTAACAGCCAATGATGCGGATTTGCCATTTCTACTATCACTCTTCCAAGGATTTCTCGCAGAAAAACCGTTTCTAGTCGACTATACTAGACCATATTCAGACGTGTGTCGAGATTTTATGGAATTCTGTATCGAGAGGAAGAGCGCACATGATCCAGTACAGGCTTTGGATATACTGTGTCGGCCCTGGGCACTGGAGCCTCAGCCTGGCGATTCAGCTAGGGTGAAGAAAAGGAAAAGGTCACCCGCAGTTGAAACCGGAAGAGGATCAGAGCTTACATATGTGCGAAGTGAAGAAGAGCTTGATCTGGACGTCTACTGGAGAAAGAAGATTGAGGGTGAAACAAGTGAAGCAGTCTGGAGGAACGAGGCAAGGGAAAAGCTATGCGAAATTTCACAAAAGCGAAAAGAGCGAGAGAAGAAAGCTCGAATGGAAGAGATCAAACGAATGAAGGACTCACAGGAAGAGAAAGAGAACCGAAATGACGACATCAACATGGAGCAAAGTAAAGACGTCGATCTGCCGTCATGGGTGCCTCGTGCTAAGAACGCACCGTTCGAGATTTATCGCCACCCTGGCATCCAGATCAAGAAAACGGGACGAGCAAATGCAGACCCTTTGGTTGGATGGCCGCAAGATGGACATAGAAACTACAGCGCCGCACAAACCGAGACTGTGAAGCTTGACTACCTCAGGTTCAAGAAGAGACCTCGCATGGGACATTACAGTCTCTATGTTACGGGGTTCAAAGTGGATGAGATTGACGAGGTTAGAGATGCGTCCCAAGGAGGGAGCATCCCAAACTCATGGTTGGAGTTGAGTGGATGGGAACCACCATACACCCAAGACCCACCGCCTGAATTTTGGAGGACTATAGTTGCTGACAGAGGTTTTGACAATCGTAACCCACCATACTATTATGCAAGAGCTTGCAGGGAATCTGTGGATAAAGGTGGGCGGGAAAGTGGTAGCGTGAACACCACGGCTTTGATCAACAACGAACGGAATTCCATCATTGCGGAGTTTTGTCGGCGGGTTCATGCTGTCATCTGGGGCCGATCTCTCTTCAAAACTAAAGCAGGTAAGCTAGGACTTGGCAAAAACGTCCAAAAAGGAGATGTGGTATGCGTTCTACATGGGTGTACTGTTCCGGTTATTCTGAGCGCCCATACAAAGAAGGAGGGAGACCAAGCCAAAGAAAGCTTCGAAGATTCATATCAGGCAATCAGGTCGTGCATGCAGAGGCTTGACAATATCCAAGTGTGCAAAAGAAGGTATGAGAAACAGAAAGAGAAGTTCAGGGAACAAGAAGGACAAACTCCTGCTGTTTCTAGCTGGGAGCAAGAAGTGAAAGACGCTCGAGAGAAGGTTAACAGTATTCTTGCCAGAGACAAGGAGCAGCGTGGCAAGAAGGACATCATGAAGCAGAGATTCAAAAAAGATGAAGAAATATTCTACATCTTCAAAGGGGAGAGCTATGTACACGGATGCATGGATGGGGAAGCGGTGCGAGAACGATTCTACGGGACGGAGCAAGAGTGGATTTATGAGTTACGCTGAAGAGGGCGAGGAGACGCATCTGGCGTCTTACTTCCGGTCTCATGTGACGACGGCGTTGTGACCTTTCTCATCTACCTTAATGAATTTGTCCATATCGCGTACACCTCCATTGGTGCTCTTGCGCTTGTGCTCGAAATCGTCTGAAACCACGCGATACAACTTCTTCGGATCATCTTCATCGTGCACAACCCGTTCTTTCCATTCCATCCATACATCCGTCCTGGGCAAGATTCCTGACGCATCAACCCACTGCTTTTCGCTCTCGGCTTCCCCGAACGCCCTAATCAATTTCGCATAGACGTGTGTCCTGGTCTCCACTTTTGAGTCCTCCTCTTTCTTTAGTCTTGCCATCACCCACCGACTATTCAGCCGCTGCCCAACAAGCACATTGAGCTGCGCAACTGCGTTTAGGATGATGAACGCAACTTGATCTAGTGTGCTTCCATTTGGCACCGCTGAGAAGATGAACAACAACACCATCAGGCTAGCCATGCGAGTGAAGCCCTGCCACACAGACGATGGTACGCCGCACGGAGCCTCGCGGTACATCAACCCACAACTCGTCCAGTCTTTCACGTCTTTACGGCTTCCTTTGAGGACGAAGGCGGAGTTGTTGCGACCCATAATAAATACGGCGTCGGGCGCGTCGGATTCGTGCACATTCCGGCGTTCGGCGGGTGCGGGCACCACGTTGAAGTACTCGATGAGGCGCAGGATGATCGACCACCCTGTGAACGCGGCGCATGTAGCGTACGACACCCATGTGGTCCCAGGAACTTCATGGATAGCGACCAGCAAGCCTGCGATGAGCAGCCATGTAATACCCGTCCAGCACGCGATTAGGATTTCTGAAGAGCGGCTTGTGCAGTCTTGTTCTCTGCGCGTCGCAGGTATGCTGAGAACGGTGTATCTTTTATCTTCCAATAGTTTGTTGTGTTTCAGCGCATTTGCTAATCGAATGTTGCGTAGAGGTGCGCTTTTCACCCCGTACGGCGAGAAATAGGTTTCTGTGCTAGGTTCGAGTAATAGGTCGTAGGAGCGGACGTAGTTTTGTAGTCCGACGACTGGCGCGGCAGTTAGACACTGCAGGAGAGAGCGCCGGCTCAGGCGATAGTTGCGCTCTTCATCTTCGCTTATCAGCACGATGAGAGAACTGACGTCGAAGGTCCAAGGCTGCTGAGAGGGAGATGCAGCCATCAATGTTTGATGCTGGTAGGGTAGATTAAAGTACATGGGAGTGAAGATATCGAGTGATGAAGGAGTTGTGTGAACTGCAATATATACTCGAGGAGCTGTGGCGTAGGGTGCTTGATCGACCGGTGTGTGTAACACGCCTCCGAGGCTGACTGCAATTCAGCTCGCCAAATGATCAAAGAATGCCTCCTGACGTTAAGCGCAAAGATGCTGAGGCGAGCCTACAAGGCTGAGATCTGGCAAGGCACCTTGGATGTAATGAAATACTCTGACTTACCTAGGTGATATACCGAAACAATAGGAATGATGGAGTGGAGCGTAATAGGTTTTCGCCAGTGCTCTACCGCACGAACTCACACTGCGCCGCCTGAATCTACTGCAGCACAGATATTTCTTTCTCGGTGTAAGCCATTGGCTGGAAGTGATGTGATGTTCTTAGGAACTGAGCGAATAGCCTGCGCAGCTGAGCCGAAGCGAAGTTACCAGGGTGGTAAGCAGTGTGCCACCCTTTAGGCCTTACCGACCATACACCGGTGTTCTACTGCCCGTTATCCCAATCCATCACTATACAGCCGACATCCCCGGTGACCTCCGCCTCTCTCTTCTGGATGCTTCGCCTGCACGCCACTGTCTACCTTGGTAGAGGCTAGGCACTGCAGGATGGGTTGGCTGTTACACAAGGCTGAGAAAGCCCCAACACAGGAATTTCTCGGGGGATGCTGCTGATGTCACGACAGTTCGTGTTGTTATCCGCTCGTAAGACCGCCTGAGCACCGTTTGGCTTCATCCATTACTACTGTACCCCATTGTTGTATGTTTTGACCTTCTTTTTGCCTATGCAAGCGGATGCCCATCTCTTTTTGCAATATCCTACAGCCTCTTCCTATGTTCGCCGCTGTACGGTCATGGTCCAGCCAGTCTCACGTTCTAACCAGATACTAGCTCTAAGCTGTACACGCTAGTATTGAACATACCCCAAGAACGCCAATAGATACTCCTATAGAACAACCCAAATCGCTAACTGAATCAACTCCGATCGGTCCATCTTCCACCGCCCTCGCCAGGTCTAACGCCAGCCTTCTTCTCACTACCCGAGAATTTTGCCTCTTCCTCTTCCCACTTCTTCCGCTCTTGCCGCCTTCTCGCCGAGTAGGCGCGCGAGAACCTCCAGGCTTCCGTGTCCGCCAGGTTCCACTGCTCCACGGCTTCGACTACTAGCTTCATGTTCCTGTCCTTGCTCTTGATAGCCTCACGTGCCTTCTTCAAGTGCTCTCCCTCCTTCTCAATCCACTTTTCGTCCGGGATGTCGATACCCTCGATGGGCTTGGGGGGTTCGGGACGGGGGAATACGATGAGTTCGGACTCCTTGCTGGGTGAACTGGGCTCGGCATTCGCAGACGCGTTCTGGGGTAGACCGAAACCGAAGATCCAGTCTAGGTCGTCTTGGGTGATGCGCTCGGCTGTGAGCCATAAAGTATGAGCGGGGGCTGCTGCTACAAGCTCCTTGAACTTGAGTACGCGGTACTCTTCAGTGTGATCGTCCGGAATAGATTTGTCCGTCAGTTTCTTAATCCACAGGTCGCGTGCTGCACTGTTGCGCAGGAAGTTCTTGTCTATCATGTCGCGCGTGTAGTGTAACGAAGTCAGCGTGTATGGGTGGGGAACGGTTCCGATCGTGAAGAACTTGGTCGTGTTTACGAATTCTGGGAACAGCTGAAGCTTCATTCCTTTGTTGGCATCGCACGGTTTGCACTTTGGTCGATTCGGTGGGCACGACTTGGGCATTGGAGTAGTCGGACATTGCGTCAGGTTACGCGCAATGTCCGTTGTTTCGTGTAAAAGGGCAGTCGTGTGCTCCGGTGCAGGCTTGACGATTACCACACCTTCTGGATGTTGCTCTTGCCAGGTCAGGTGGAGGTGCGAGTTGACGAGGTTTGCGAGCAAGTCGAGGGCCTCGGCTTGCGTCGTGTTGGTAAACTTATCAGCGACCGTCTTGTATTTGCTGGAGATCGTAGCCATGTTGTAGGATGCGATTCCGTCGGCCTTACTGTCTGAGTTCATGTCCTTCGTGTCCAGGAGGTTGACAATCGGTCCACCCTCTTTTTTGGCGAGCTTCAACAGCTTATCCTTGCTCGCGGTAACATTCTTGAGCAACTCGTTGCCCATGACCTTCTTGATCGCGTCGTCGACCATCATGCGATCTCCAAAGAAGATGGCGTTATCCAAGGTCTGGACCCTCGACAGCTTGGCGTATTCGTTTCGTCGCAGAAAGCTGAGCATCGGGTTCTCGTACTCGGCCATGGGCAGTGCGAGCCAATTGACGAGAACACCGCCGCCCATATGCCCCCAGGCCAGCCAGCGCATGACCTCAAACTCGATCTTTGGATCTAGCTTCATGCGCTGGAACAGCTGGTATTGTGGGTGGTGCATAGCCTCAGCCCGCGACAGTACAACAGGCTTGAAGCCCTGCGCCCACCACGCCCGTCGCCATGCCAGTATCAGCCGTTGTTCTGCCGTGGACACGTCCTTGTCCTGCTTCTTCGGTACGTCGTAGTATGTGTAAATCGGCGGTCGTTCGCGTAGTGGTGGTAGGAGGGCGGTGTTCTCATCGAGAGTTACGCGGGAGGAGAAAGGGTTGCGCCATTTGAAATCACTGAGCCACTCTATAGCGCCGTAAGCACTGGCCGTGGTGCTGTTTGCCTGGACTGGCGGCTTGTGTGCTGAGGGACCGAAGGGTTTGGGCACAGCTGGCAGCTCGCCCAGGTCAGGCAGGTGAGCTTGCGGGTGCTTTACCGCATCGGCGACTTCGTCATAGGTCGGAATGCTGTCGCGTGTTGGGGTTCCGTAAAAGGTAAAGTTTACTATGACGAAGAGCAGAAGGATGATGATGACCTGGAACCTCCTCGGGGGCATCTGCAGCGCAATGGGCCGGCCCATGAAGGTATGCTGAGTCGGCATGGCACAATCGGATGTAGAAGTGAGGTGAATACAAGGCAGACTATGGCAATTCTGGCGACATGGGCGCTTTCAGACTACTGGAGCCGGTATCCGTGGTGGGCCTGATGTTGCTGATTGAAGGCAAGGCGGCGCGAACTCAGCTCCGCTAGGCGATGCAAGCAAGCTTTGAAGCAAACGTAACGAGCGACAAAAAGGCACAAAAAGACGCAGAAGCCGCAGATACTGCACCAGTTGACACGCCGGGTGACGCGTCGTGCTAAGGGAACGTTTCCAGTTTGGCGAGGGCGAGGTGCAAGGCTAGCGCAGGGCTGATGATGCGCCCCAGACCCAGACATCCCACGCGTTTCGAGCCTTCGGTGGTGGGGGTCGCCCTGGCCGATGTCGCCTGAGTCGAGCATTTTGACGGGATGCGTCATACCTCTTCTGTTACTTTTGGTGTCTATGACTCTGCATTCTCCTTCCATTCTTCAGTTTCAGAGGCCGTGAGACGAATCGTCACTCCAAGCCTGAATTTCATACCTTCTTCTGTTCGCTCACATCATAATTGGACATCCGCGAACTATCTACGCGCATGCGCACACTCAGAACGCGACCCCGCCATATATTTCCTTGAACATGCAGGAACAGGTACGCGCGACAATGGCTTCACTTACCAAAGGAAGCATTCCAGATCCGACCGCAGACCTTCACTGGTCTGATTTCAAGGGACCCATCCACGAGATCTTCGCAGGAAATGCTCGCAAGCATCCCGAGCGGCCATGCGTGGTAGAGACGGCTACCAGCAAGACACCCGAGCGCAAGTTCACATACAAACACATATTCGAGGCTACCTCGGTACTAGCCCATCATCTGGTGCAAAATGGCGTGCAGAGAGGAGAGGTAGTCATGATCTTTGCCCATCGTGGCGTAGACCTAGTGGTCGCCATTATGGCTGTTCTGGCGGCAGGAGCGACCTTCTCAGTACTAGACCCGCTGTGAGTCTAGCTTATCAAACAGCTAGTGACCTACTGACATCATTAGATACCCCCCAGACCGCCAATGCATCTACCTCGAAGTCTCCCAACCACGCGCACTCGTAGTCATCGACAAGGCCACCCGCGAAGCCGGTCCCATCTCAGAGCAAGTGAGGGACTACGTCAAGGACAATCTACAACTGCGGACAGAAGTCCCTGCGCTCGAGCTCAAGGACGATGGAACCCTCGTGGGAGGCTCCAAGGACGGAAAGGACGTGTTGGAGGAACAACAGAAGCTCAAAGCCGAGCTGCCAGGAGTGCTGGTCGGCCCAGACTCAACACCCACACTCTCCTTCACATCAGGATCGGAGGGAAAGCCCAAGGGTGTCAAGGGCCGGCACTTTTCGCTGACCCATTACTTCCCATGGATGGCCGAGACTTTTGGACTGTCTGAAAACGACAAATTCACCATGCTCTCTGGCATCGCCCACGACCCTATCCAGCGAGACATCTTCACACCACTGTTCCTCGGTGCGCAACTACTCGTGCCCAGCAAAGAGGACATACAGCATGAGAAGCTCGCCGAGTGGATGCGCAAATATGGCGCGACTGTCACACATCTCACACCCGCCATGGGCCAAATTCTCGTGGGAGGCGCTTCCGCCATCTTTCCAAGC